GCTCGACTTACCCTAAAGTAATGCTCTACTTACCCTGAAGTAATGCTCGACTTAACCTGAAGTAATGCTCGACTTACCCTGAAGTAATGCTCGACTTACGCTAAAGTAATGCTCGACTTACCCTGAAGTAATGCTCGTCTTACAATGAATTAATGCTCGACTTACCCTGAAGTAACGCTTGACTCACCCTTAAGTAATGCTCGACTTACCCTGAAGTATTGCTCGACTTCATTTTTCTCCAAGCTGCCGTCGCTGTGTTGGTCGATATTTGCAAAGGCACCTGCAGCAATGAGATCCCAGTCAACGGCGCTCAAGGCCAAGGCCGGAAGGCAAATCAGAAGAGCGACGAGGTAAGACATTTTACTGCAAAGTAAATTCATGTACGTCAATAGGCCAATGAGAGTTGAGTAAACTAATTCCCAAAAGCAAGCAACCCATTCATCTTAGATTTTTTTCTGGAGCGGACACCAGATTGCCTCTATTGTTGTGCATTAAAATAAAACAGATGAAGTCATTGATGCGTAAGGTTTACTTACGCTAAGTTAGGAAAAGTATAAAAGTGGAATAAGTTAATTATTGTTAGGGGTCAAAATGCCGCGCTTAGAGACCTGGAAGGCCGCACTGCTCACTTAAGTTTCCTTACCCTTAAATTGGCTGCATAGAAGTATACATAACTGTAAGTGACTCACAATATATAGGTCAATCATTGCCATGACTTTAATATTTTGAACTATCTGAAATGTTTGAATGTCTCCTCTAACACTAAACATTATATTGTGCGTTCTACACAATGTCCTTGCTGCTGTAATGTCTTATCTAACACTAAACATTATATTGTGCGTTCTACACAATGTCCTTGCTGCTGTAATGTCTCATCTAACACTAAACATTATATTGTGCGTTCTACACAATGTCCTTGCTGCTGTGATGTCGCATCTAACACTAAACATTATATTGTGCGTTCTAAACAATGTCCTTGCTGCTGTTATGAGCACACTGCTTCAGAGTGTTGGGCAACTAAAAGTTCTGAGTGACGCCATCTCCTATCGTATTCTATATTTTGCCTTTATGTCATTAGTCTGATATGATCGTAGCCGTGGTTACTGAATGTATAAAGCTAAATACGCAGGGTTTAATTAAAATAGATAACTAAGGTCATCTTTTAGCTTATAGGCCAGATTTTTCAACAAAACCTAAAAAAAAATTTAAAAACCCTTTGGTTACTACAATTTTACATTTTACTTTATAGTAGTTCTTGTAAAATTTGCTTCCCAGACAGTTTGTCTTTGTTCCAGGAGCCTTAAAAAGATATGTGACGGCCCACGTGCATAGTAATAGTCGTTAAACATATAGCCTGAAGCTGGTCAGTGGCCCTTGGTAGATGTGCGCAAAACTACATTATAGCTGTTTACGGACCCGCCTGGTATCTATCTTTGAAACCGAGGTTAAAAGTCTGTGGTTAATAATAATAAAAAAAATAATTCAATAATTAACGTTCTAGAACATTCTCCAAATATATTTGAAAGCTCACCTGTTATTGATGATAAGGCGCACAGATAAACAAGGGCTTGTCTATAGACTTGTGGACTGCTGGAGGTCAGCGTCGGCCTTTTATTGGTCTCGATCACGAGCCGAGAAGATGGACATTGCTGACTAAGTGCTACTTAAGTACGGCGAAGTCCGCGCCTTAAGTTCCATATTGACGATCTTTCTATATTTCAGGTGGTCAAGATGATGCAAGACGCGGTCACGTGAGTATAAAAATGTCATGGGGGTGTGTTTTTAAGGTCATAGATTTGACATCTTGCGTCACATCATCTCATTGATGAGTCAAAGAAATTGACAATGCACAAAACCTTGCACATTCCTGAGAAATAATGACAAGAACAAATAATAACCTAGTGCAATTTACTCAATGCACAGATTCAATCCATATCAACACACAAAATTCGGTTTACAGTTAATTTGGCCTCTTTGTTAGAAATCAGTTTAAAGAATGATTTATTGGGGGAAAAAAATCTGTTGACTAGTACAAACTGGAAATTTTTTACATGAGATCTCAAGTTCAAAATCTCATTTCCTTAATTTGTTTCTTCCAGTGAAAACAATTATTAATTTCGTATTTAACTTTCCTTTAGTCATGGCTGCTTCTATGAGTTTAAATGGGGAGGCCTGCTTCTATCAGTATAAAATGGAGAATGACTGCTTCTACGAATGTAAAATCGGGAGGGCTGCTTCTGAGAGTGTAAAGTTGGGGGTTGGGGGGGGGGAGCTGCTTCTACAAATTTATTCCTGTTATCTCAAAAATGACCGACCTTGACTGAAGTCACTTTAAAGGCTTTTTAAATTTGGTCATTTGTTGCCAATAATGGGTTAAAAAAAAACTTTAACCTGCGCGTCAGCAAAAATTCGTGCTGATAAGATTTGTTTTCAATAAACTACTATTAAGGTTCCCAGGTCGCTTCTTTAGTCTGCACATTCTAACCCCGGTTGATTGCGAGTTCAACATTTAATATACTCAAAAATGCTACAATGTTCTCCCATAAAAATATCTTTAAAAATGATTTATTTTTACTGTAAACCAAAACAGATCGGCTTCATTGTTATCTATACTCGTGTACCCCCCATTTTTTCATATCATTATCCTGTCAGTAAGTCAGTCAGTCAGTCAGTCAGTCAGTCGGTCGGTCCCCTTTATTTAGACAAAATATCACTTTAAATATAAATCTCCTTACAAGTTCCGTAAATGTAAAAGATGTTGTTGTCACAAGGGTTAATTTTCTTAGCCCAAGTTGATTGAACATTTGAACTCAAAAAACACCTTTCTTTATGCCAGAATGTCTAGACTTCTTTAATTGATAGATTGTTGGAACCAAATTGATTATCGAGTCTTGAGCCTTAGGCTCGTCAAAAGTACACGAGAAGGAAACTATTAAAATAATAGCAATTACTCGGAGAAAATAACGTTTAAAGGGCTGTCCTGTAAACTAAAACAAAAAAATTGGGATACACTATGAAAATTATCTAGGGTCGTAGATCTGAAAAACGTTAATAAGATATTGGTCAAATGGTAGCTATTGTTGGTGCTATATGATCGACCAATACGTTTCCAATAATGCACCTACTTTGAAGTTCGAATTAATGACACAAATATCGAGTCAATCGTAACATAACAAACCATATGATGGGTATGGTGCACCGTATTGTCACGTGCCTGTGTACTGCCAAGGCCTGCTCTAGGACATGCGCATTATTTTGTTTGAAAACAAACATTTAACTGAAATCGTGTTCTTGTTTGTTGTTGTCACACTACAAACTCTCTTCACTTCAAAACATGTTTCTGCACTATCACGATAAGAAAATGATAAAAGATGCAAATAAACATTTTTTTTGGGGGGGGGGGGGGCCGGGTGGGGTGCCTTCCACATCCCCTGACGCTTCCTACCGGATCTCAAGAGGGTTCGGGCACCCCATTTAAGCACCCCTATATGTTTCTGCACTATCACGATAAGAAAATGATAAAGATGCAAATAAACATTTTTTTTGGGGGGGGGGGGGCCGGGTGGGGTGCCTTCCACATCCCCTGACGCTTCCTACCGGATCTCAAGAGGGTTCTGGCACCCCATTTAAGCACCCCTAATTTAAAACAATAATATCTTACGTTGTGAAGCCATCGTCCAAAAAAATATATAAAAATCTAATGGCTCAAACGACCGCACACTCTCACTATTACATTTCGAAAGTCAAGTTGCGTGCTTCTGAGTTGTCACGTGACATATATTTACATGGTTACTTCTCTTTGGTTAACAAAAGAAAGACAAGCAGACTTTAAAAGCAAAACCAGTAACAACTTTGTCCCCCTTTGCGTTATCTGCTTTTGTCGCAATTTGGGAACCCACGTGTTGTGACCTACCTATGTTGTAAATTTCGTACGTTTCCTCTTCTATTTATCCTCGTCGTTGCATTAGTCTAAAGAACTGCTTTGAGATCGTCCATGCTTCCTTGGCTACGTGGAATTAGTCGTTATTAATCTTATGTTTTACAAGGGTTTTACGCAAATTAATTTGTAGATCACTTTGTTAGCGCGATGCTTCCTAGCACTGGCCGAGTAGCGTTTCAAATCATTAAAAAAATAATAATAATAATTGGAGGTCCAGAAGATTTTCATGGCTTAAAATTTTTAAGTAGTTTAATTCAAGATACATTTTTAAATCTATTTTTTTTTTTTATGTTGTTGATCCACGATTTAAATTTGACAAACATATATGTGTATTTTACGTGACGAAAAGAAGTCAGAAGATCATTATGGAATTATCTCGGGATCCAGATCATCAAAGAGCTTTTCAAAACATGGTATAATGTATTGAAATTATGTTTATAAATTTAAAAAAAAGCTAAAACTCTTGTTTAAAAGTTTAATAATGTGAGATTCAAATTCACGTGTGTTTATAAGCTGATATTCGGTTAGTTTGATAACTAGACCGCAGATATCCCACCACGGGATGGGAAGTGGTGTTGTCGGGGACGTTAAAAATATATATCCATCGAAGCCCGTAGAAAGTGAGTACAGCACCACCAGCCGACCGGGTGTTCCTTCAGTGATGGCCGCTTCCACTCGCATGGTCAAGTGAGTGGAAGGCGGGTGGCGCTATGTCAGGGGCGGAAATCTTCCGAAGTGCCGCCTCGCGGGCAGGACAAGAGTTACCGTAGTTAGGATGGGGGAGTGGGGGGTGGGGGGGTGGAGGGTGTACATTGGGAAAGTCTTAATGAGCTCTGGCTCGATAGTTTGCAGTTTTTTCTTAAGAGAGTTAGTAAAAAAATTTAATCCACCAAGACATCTCGTTAAAGGAAAAAAGGGGGACATGCTTAAAAAAAAAAGTCTTACATTTGAAGCAAGTGGCCGAAATAGCAAACATGTTCAAGGATGAGAACATGTCCAGAAAGCCATGAGCTGTGTGTTTTTTTTAATTAAAAAAAAACAATAACATCACACACAAAAATATGCAAAGGAAATAGAATTTATTTTTTTACTATACTTTAAAATTACAAAAACAGAGCAGAACGAGTCGCATGATAGGTCAATAAAAATGTCCTCAACATACTCGTCAGTCCGGTAGCCGTCAACCCTCAACCAACCACGGGGTTGATGGTGAGCTCAAACCATCTGCAATGGAAACACAAGTGTACACAGTATGAGTAAATAAATGAATTCACAAATTTGGTTTTGCCAGTTACAAGTATGACATAAAGAATTAAAAAGAATCTCTTATAAATTGTAGTTTTTAACCTACTATTTTCCCCCAATGTTTCAAGAGTTTATTTTAGGAGGGAAATAAAGACAGGCGTGCTTTTTAAAGTTGTCCTATGTTGCATAATGTTCCCAAATTTTCCCAAATGTTCCCTAATGTTCTCTAATGTTCCCAAATGTTCCCAAATGTTCCCAAATGTTCTCAAATGTTCCCTTATGTTCCATAATGTTCCCAAGTGTTCCAATTTAAAACCAAATTAAGAGACATTAACAGTTCAATATCATAATTTTTCATTGTGAGGAAATGTGGCGATTTCCCCACTTCTCAAAATGCGCATATTCAAATCAAACTTGATTTCAAAAATAGGAATCGTTATTAATGGGCGTGTAGAATTTTAAAACTTGGGGGAACTGCGCTGGGGCTCCCGTCCTGGCGGAAAAGCCTCCTAGCTTCGGACCTCAAGCAATCAATATTTTTTCTTGTTGTGATCCATTGCACACTTACTATCAGAAACTTCAGAAACTGCTCTATTCTAGCCGCAAGTGGGGTACTTTTTTTTGTTAACAGCCTGCACTTGTCATACTTTAAACATTTTGTAGATATAAATATAGATTAAAAACAAAATATTTAGATTTCCGTCGGTCGTATAAAATAGATTTGCATTAAATGGTAGCCAGCCTTCGGCTATTTTCATTACTTCATCTTTTTTCTGCCTAATCTATAAAATTCTTTTAAACAATACGCCCATGCATGAGGCTCCCTAAACATTTCCTTAGCATAAAAAAAATGAATAAATTTCACTTTACAATGAAAGGTTGCGCACTCCTGACTCAGCTCACGGGCCATAGTATGTTTCCCTTTGATTTGATTCATTACTCACGTGGTGTACTCCAGTTGTGAGATACGGTTGTTGTTGTTGCGGTCGATGAGGTCGAACAGCTTGTCGTTGTCGTTCTTGTCGATGACGTCGTCGTTATTGAAGTCCAGATCGTCAAAGAGGCCGGTCAGGGCCCTGACGAGGTTGTGGTCGCTGTTTGCGGCGGTAACCACGGCAACGTACTCCTGTTTGGTGACTTTATCATCGCCGTTGGTGTCATAGGTTTGCTGTTGACAGTTTGGGAATGAAATAATGGCTTGTCTCGTTTATATTGTTTTTCTCTCAAGTGGAGATGATAGTTCGCTTATCACTTGGAGAAACCAAATGAAAAGGTCATCTTACGTTGTGATCTAACATGGTGACCTAATCTGGCCATCGCACGGGGTGACCTAACATGGTCATTTAACATGGTGACCTAACATGGCCATTGGTGACCTAACATGTACATTTGACATGGGGACCTAGCATGGTCATAAAAATGGGGACCTAACACGGCTATTCAACATGGTGATCTAACATGGTCATTTAACATGGTGACCTAACATGGTCATTTAACATGGTGACATGGAGAGGTCAACTTTCTTGGCTAAATGATTATATTATTTAAATATCCATTTATATATTACTAGATAAAATTACAAGCATACTATATATTAGTGTTGCATTACTTGACATTTGACAAACTAACTCAATCGCTCTTGCATACTCAGAGTCTGAAACTCACTTTGAAATAACGCTCGACTTCGGGTTTCTCTAAGCTTCCGTCGTTGTTGGAGTCGATTTTCGCGAATGAACCCACAGAGACGGCAGCCCAGTCAATTGCACATAAGGTCAAGGCCGGAAGGCATACGAGGAGGATGATCAGGTTGGACATTTTTACTGTAAGTACATAGGCTCATATCTTACTGTAAGTACATAGGCTCATAACTGTAAGTACATAGGCTCATATCTTACTGTAAGTACATAGGCTCATAACTGTAAGTACATAGGCTCATATCTTACTGTAAGTACATAGGCTCATATCTTACTGTAAGTACATAGGCTCATAACTGTAAGTACATAGGCTCATATCTTACTGTAAGTACATAGGCTCATATCTTACTGCAAGTAAATAGGCTCATATCTTACTGTAAGTACATAGGCTCATATCTTATTGTAAGTACATAGGCTCATATCTTACTGTAAGTACATAGGCTCATATCTTACTGTAAGTACATAGGCTCATATCTTACTGTAAGTACATAGGCTCATATCTTACTGTAAGTACATAGGCTCATATCTTACTGTAAGTACATAGGCTCATATCAGCTTAGGTTTCAGCAAATCAAAAATAAACCTACACATTTCTTTATATAAAAATGAAAAGAGATTTGCGATGGTTTCGTTGTTCAGAGATATCCCTTCTAATCTTTCATTTGAGTATGAACGGCTGAAGTTAACGTCTACAGTTCATGGCTAGCTTATGTAACATTTTGCCGCTACAAGAACTACTCGAAGTACAATCCCACAATATACTTCTTTGCTCTGTCTAAACAACAGTAAAAGAATACAAAATATATATTTTTTAGCATCATGTCCATAGCTATACCGAATGTCTAAAATTAAGTAGTTAAACGTTGATATAAACCTGGTCAATGCATAGGGTATCTACTGCGCCTAACTAATGGAACAGCTTGCCTCAATCTTTGAAGGTAATTAAAAATTATAAAAAAAAAAAAAATTTAGAAAAATTTGAAGACGTTTACTTCTACAAGATTTTAGGAAATGAGAGCACTGTGGGCATGATCAGATAGCATGGACACAAGTACAATAAACATATTCAGTCATCTTCATCATATCTTGAAACGTCTCTGAAAGATTGTGAGCGGTCTTGAGAAACCTTAAGATAAAATTGGTCTTTTGCTAAAAAATTGGCAACTTTTTTTTTTTTTTACAGCTATCATTACAAGTGTATTTATATATCACAAAGCCCTGAATATTTATTTCAGAATGCACTAATACAAAAGTCCTTTCTGGTAGACAGTCACGAACGGTCTATCATTACGTCCGAGGTTAATTTTCTCTAAGAAAAGATACTGGTTGTCTCAATGAGCATAGACGTGCAATTTTACTTAATTCAATATCGAGCATATTTTCACATAGCTACGGCCTCTAATTCACCTGAGATGCTACTCAACTCACCTAAGCTACTGAGGACAGGTACAAAGGATCACCAGGAATGGTCTGAAGACTTGTGGACTGCAAAAGGGAAGCGCTGGCCTTTTATTGGTCTCGATCACGCACTGAGGAAATGGACACGTATGACAAAGTGATACTTAGGTCTGTCGTATAGTCCACGTCTTGGGCTCGCACGTGACGTGGCCCACCACTATCTATGAGAACTTGTAAAATATGCACGACGTGGACACAGTAAGATCGTGACTTTTTGTTCAAGTGAAGAGTTTTCATGTCTTGATTAAAATTTAAAGCGGTTTTAAATGTTACGTATTTCCTTCGTTCCCGCGGCTAGCAAAAAGAGGTGACGGGGGTTGGATTGGGCCCGCGGGTCCTACTTTGCCTACGCCTGTTCTAGAAAACTAACACATTTTTTAAAACAAAGTTTTAGAATGATGGGTATTTTACGATATTGTTGCTGCTTAAACGACAATTGGCTACCTTCTCCTGTCAAGTGAAAACATACTCCTCGGCTTACTTGTCTTTGTTTATCTTCGACAAAAAATCGTTTCATTTCTATCTGCAGCATCTTGGGAACATATTTTCCTTAAATTATCTACGCATTACATTTGGTCGATATGAAGCCCCGCTCGTTCTTCCGTCATCGTCATTGGCGTGAGTCTAAAAATAACTCTAACATTTTCAATGGTCCCTGTCCTGTTCCTTCATGAACTGAAAACGCCATTATTTTAACTTTCACGTGTTTTTTTTTTTTTTTAAAAGAAGGGGCTCCCTGGCAGCGCCAACACGTGTCGACTACCGCCCCCGGTAATAAGAGCTCAAGGAGGTTCCGTAAAATTCTGAAAAAAGTGTACAGATAATCAAGTTTTGACGTGTGGTTTACGTGTGGTTACGCCTATAATCATCTTTCTGAAACATGTGCAAAAAGCGTCGATAATCCGAAGTCATTCACACACAAAAAAAATTCTTAAAAAAAAAAAAAAAGGGAGAGCATAAGACTACAAAGACTAATGTTGATTTTTTTGCGCGTCTAACCGTACCGTTTATTGGATCGATCCGGGTCCCTGGATGGTATCAAAACTAGCGAAGGAAGGAGTGGAATTTTGACTTTCTAAACAGGTCACTTAAAAAAAAAAGAGAGTAAAGGCTTAGAATAAATGAAATGTCTTTTCAGACATGTATTCTGAGGTATATATATTAATATACAGGTCTGAAGATCACACTATCGCAGACTGGTCAAATGCATCTAAAGTTTGAACTAGATTTTACTTTGGTTGAGCGACAAGGTTTGGGATTTTGTTTCCACTTTGAACGCCAATGCCATTGGCAAATGCGAATTGCGTACAATAACAATAAAACAAATGTCAGGGGCATTTCGGATAATTGGATTTTCGAATTGCTGACTATAATAATTTATCGCATTGAAGTATGACGACCAAAGTAGTGTTGTTATCCAATACATCTGGCAGACCAAAGTACTGTTGTTATCCAGTGCCTTTGGCAGACCAAAGTAGTGTTGTTATCCAGTACATCTGGCAGACCAAAGTAGTGTTGTTAGCCAGTATATCTGGCAGATCAAAGTAGTGTTGTTATCCAGTATATCTGGCAGATGAAAGTAGTATTGTTATCCAGTATATCTGGCAGACCAAAGTAGTGTTGTTATCCAGTATACCTGGCAGACCAAAGTAGTGTTGTTGTCCAGTATATCTGGCAGACCAAAGTTAACAACGTCGTACTTGAGATTAAGAAATGTTTCTCACCAGAAATCCTGTTACATTTCTTAAAATAATTTAATTTCACTGAAGATGCATTCGAATTTTTTAGTTAACAAACAAGTTGGCAAGCATGTGGCGGCTTGTCGATTAGGAGGCGTCGGCCACCGACCCCCTCGACGTTAACCGGGAAACACAACCACTGGGCGCGTCCTGTGATATTTCCCAACTGGAACAATAGGCAGTGACAGGGTAGGGATCATGATTACAAGTTGCCGTTAATGGATATGAGGCGAGATGCGAAGGTGGTAACCTCTGGCCGATGATTCTTACTACGCAGCCCTGAGAAGCTGCTCCAAGGCAACCGTTTCGTCCCAGCTACATCGCAAATTAGTTGCGTTGTGGAAGCCCACTGTAGAATCCCTCTTATAAGGCGTCTAACGCTTCCCCGGGATGGGTGGGGAAGATATTAGGACGCAAAATTTTCCATCCCGACTCCTGAGAAAGTCGATCGTGTGCACTGTGCGAAATAACACAGTGTCGGACCGACCTGGTGTCTTTGGGTTAGGACGTCCCCCGGTGGGGACCTGGTCGAGCAGACTCGGGTGGGGGCCGTCCTGACAAAGGGACATCCCCGAAGTGCCGCTCCGCGGCCCGATACTGGGTTGGGGAGGGGTGTTTTGGGGAGGGCATCAAGAGCGCAAGCTCGACGGCCCGCTGACGCCATTTCTTAATGTGATATTTCAGTTAACAAACAACATCCCCCCCCCCCCGCAATAAAAAAATTGATTATATTTATGTACATTTATCATTTCACTCATTTAACCAAATGACACTAACAAGTAAAAGTGTCAAATGCCCAAATGCAATAAAATGGGTGGGGAGGGGTGTTTTGGGGAGGGCATCAAGAGCGGAAGCTCGACGGCCCGCTGACGCCATTTTTTAATGTGATATTTCAGTTAACAAACAACATCCCCCCCCCCCCGCAATAAAAAAATTGATTATATTTATGTACATTTATCATTTCACTCATTTAACCAAATGACACTAACAGGTCAAAGTGTCAAATGCCCAAATGCAATAAAATTGATTTTAACTGAAATCAGCGCTATGAATAATTTCGGTTTTATGCTACTTAGACACTATGTAAATGATTAATAATAATTCCCGAACCGATCTTGTCCGCCCAGGCTTGCTTTGCGCACCGTGCTTCGCTCTCATTTGCTGCTTGACCCAGTCTTCCGCTTCATCACTTCCGCAGAAAAGCACACAAAAGAACACACATAGACTCAATACAACTAAGAATTGGTGGATGTTTAGAGCGCCATCTGCATTAATTATTAAAGATTATGCAACTCTTCTAGTGTTTTCAACGTGCGACGTAGTTGTGTTGCCACACGTTGTGAGTATATAAATAAAGGTGAAAATGTGGTGCGGTTTGTAACGCAAACGTTTCTTCATAGATCCATTGATCTTGACCAAACATTGCACACATATCCTTCATTATACAGAATAAAATACTGGAACAATAATTCTATTTTTTCCTTATATTGCTCGTCCTTCGTATGCGAAGATGACTTGAGTGGTAGCCTTGACAGGAGCTCTATTTTATTTCAAGTGAGGATTAGTTGCTCGGTTCTTCAACCTCGATCTCTTGTCCTTGCCTGTATGTTAAATTGCAAGACTTGGCCAGGAAGACTGGAAATAGGCCATGATGCAGTAGATGACCAAAAGCGTCTCCTTGTGCTCTTATGCGTTCCACGTCGCAGAACTGCCGGAATTTTCATTGAGTCGATGTCATAGAGCCTACGGGACTCCATCTCTGTGTTTTATTTCAGTGTCTGTCTTCTCTTAGATGAGTTGCCATCCAAGGTTAACGAGTCCCATCTACCCGGGCTGCTGCTGCTGGTGTTTTAGCTTGTCTGGGATGGCATTTAACCTCGAGTTCACTATCTTGGGATTGGCTCATTTTAAGCCAATCAGCCACCCAGCACATTCTTTCCTTATATGAGTAATATAAATAACAGTAGGCTTAGAAAAAAACAATTTTCCCCCCTTGAATCTTGGGCAAGCGTGGTAGCCATACCCTTCACTGTCCACGTTGAAAGATCAGTAAATTTAAAATAATTAGATCCAGGCCATTGGGGGGCCAGTCTAGAATTTTCCAGAAATTCTTATAATTTAAAAGGCTAGATTTTCAGCGCTTTTCAATCTACTTTGATGGGCTCAATTTTAGCTCCATTACTTATCTTAATGATTTTCATAGGGCCCACTTATCTCAGGCATAACGTAGAAAAGCCATTTTCCCCCAAAAAATCTGGAGATTAAAAAATGGCGTTGAGGGTATTTAAATAAATTCCAGAAATATCTATGTTGTTCATCGTGGCAATATATCAAGTTCCAAAAGCTTATAGAACTTTTAGTTTAGTCGTGTAGATGTCCAAAGCTCCCTGGGAATTTTCTCAGTATCGGTGTAGTATCTTTTTTTAAAAAGTAAATTTCTACAAGTTACTTGATTATTTTAAAATGTTCTTTTTTTTTCTCCTGTAACCGTCTTAGGATAATATTAATGTCCTTATAAATTTTTTAAATTTAAAAAAAAATTTTTTTTTTTAAAATGTTTTTTAACGTTTCAGTCGGTTTCCTCGAATGTTCGGATTTGAAAATATGTTTCAATGCTTCTCGAGAGTTACAAATTAATGTTCCCATAAAAATTTCCTAAACTCTATGCATAAATGAAGTTGAAGGCATCTAAATAATATATAGATGGATTAAGGCTAAGTTTGGTAAACATAACCTTCATAATCCCACTGAGAAACGGGATACGACCAGCAATGGGATCTCACCTGGGGAAAGGGATCCCGCCGAGGAACAGGATCCCATTAGGGAACGGGGTCTTCATTTTGACGACGTGTTTTTGCCAGGGCCCTTAATTTCGATTTTAACCGATAAAGATTTTAAAAAAAAAAAATATTCCGAATGCAACCTGGGCAACACCGGGTACTATATATAATATTAGCTAAATAAACCGTGAACAAGATATGTTAAGGTTAGAATTTTAAAAAAAAAAAGAGCAATTAAAAATGTAACTTTTTGGTCCTGAACAACTACCGCTTTTTATAGTGCCCCCATTCTTCTTACACAGAGACTGAGAGAGAGCTGCATTGTGACATGGGAACACTCAAGTTTTTCAAGTTCGGATGTTTTTTGTTTTGTTTTGCATTTGTCTGCTGAAGAAGAGATTGAGCTGAAACGTGCCACTATTCATTTTAGTACATTTTGAACGCAGTGTTATTTACACGATGACCATAGCGGCTATTCGTCATCTAGCAGCCAATGTTTTTTGGGAAGGGTGTGGGGTTTAGTTTTGGTTTTAAATAAAAAAAATAAATTAATGTTAAAAGCTGGAGGAAAAAAAAAATACAACAATGTAGACGATATGATA